TCTGAAAGACCACTTAGTGTCTCCAGGAAAGGCTGGAAATTCTTCCCTCTAGGATTTGGGTACCCAGATCACTCGTGTGACTTTGAGCAGAGACTTCTCCATCTGGAACATGTGGGGAGTGATCCCAGTCCTACCACCCCTCAGGGTTGGCATGAGGGTCAAATAGGAGGAAGGATGTGAAGGGGCTGGCTGTCCTTATAGACCAAGGCCACCTCTTTGTCCCCATCACCAGCCATCACTCTTTGCACCTATGAGACAGATCAAGGTGAGTCATAATTCTGCTTTGTAACCCCCAAGAGGGTCAGATTGTTTTATTTGTGGGTCCCCGCCATGCAGCACCCACTAGGTACAGGGTAAACACTGGATAGCTCTTTGCTCTTGTGCATTGTTTCAGGCCGTGGGCTATACACTTTGGAGCTTATTATGTGCCAGGGACTATTCTCAGTGCTTTGTATGTCTTGTTTCATTTAATCCTCATAACAACCCTCAGAGGTGGCTACTGCTATTATCCTCATTTCCTAGGTGTGGAAACTAAGGCATTTAGAGGTTGGCTTACCCAAGCTTGCACAAGTGAGTGGAGGAGTTGGGGGTCCTATCCAGGCTGTCTGCCCTGAAGCCATTGCACTTTACTGCCTTGTTGCATAGAGGATTATGTGAGTTTCTCACCACACTCTTCCCTGGTAGTTACTATCACCACTTGACAGATGAGGAAACTGAGACCCAGAGGGCTAAGTGTCTTGTCTTAGAACACATGGTGGATGAGTAGTAGAGCTGAGATTTGGCCCAAGCCTGTGTGATTGCAAATCCATGTTTTGTTTTTTTTTTTTTTTCCAGTATGCCGGTGATTGTAATCATAGGTTACCATTCCCGGTCCCAGGCCCACCAAATACTTCTTTTAAATTTGGAGCTTGGATTTAAAAGCTAATGACTTGTTTAAATCCACAAAGGACACCTACCTTGGATCCTGCTCTGGTCTTTATTAGCCACACCTCTTTTGACAGGCAGAGGAGTTAGGACTGAGGGGATATTCCCACCAAGACCTTGCAAATTGCACTCTTAAGCCGTGCCCTGGGTACCCAAACTCTAGAATTCCCTCCTCAAAGGGACCTTAACCCAACTTCAGGGCCTATATAGGCCAATTTCTTGGTCCATCTTCCAAGAGGTGGCCAAAGGACAACCATTTGGGGAGGGGAAGGGAGTAGATGAAGCTTAGCCACGTGGTCTGGGTCATCCACATACCCGCACCAGGAGCCTCAGTGATGCAGGACAGAGGAGAGTGGGTGGGGAATTAAGGAGGATCTTGGGTGAGGTCTGAGAACCAAGAGCTGGCAATCCTCATGCTACCCTGTGCTGGGTAGAGCGCAAAGAATTCTCAGAAGTCTACATTCTGAATCTTTAAGGTCATTATGAAGTTGTATCTGCCAAGGAAGGGAGATAGACGTCTTTTTTTTCTTTTTCTGTTCTTTCTTTTTTTTTTTTTTTTGAAGCGGAGTTTCACTCTTGTTGCCCAGGTTGGAGTACAATGGCACAGTCTCGGCTCACTGCAACCTCTGCCTCGCGGGTTCAAGCGATTCTCCTGCCTCAGCCTCCCGAGTAGCTGGAATTACAGGCACCTACCACCACGCCTGGCTAGTTTTTTGTATTTTTAGTAAAGATGGGGTTTCACTATGTTGGCCAGGCTAGACTCAAACTCCTGGCCTCGTGATCCACCTGCTTCGGCCTTCCAAAGTGCTGGGATTACAGGCATGAGCCACCATGCCTGGTGGACAGATATCTTTTATTTAAATGTTTGCTGGCTTGATTTTGTCAATTTTAAATATTAGACGTATGACACACAGGTTTCCATTTGTCACTTTGCCCCAGGCGCTGTAAATACTAGACATGGGCCTGTCCTTGTGTCTGGAATTTGCCGATACCACCTTTAAGGATTCATGCTAAAATTCACAAACTATATGAAAAGATTCTCTTTGCATGAGGCTGTCCACACAGGCATTTATTTGAAGACCATTGCTGAGAGAAAAAAATCAAAATCTTGCTTTCGAGTCACACTAATAGTTCCTTTCCTACTAAAGTACTGCCTAGTTGACATCTAAGCCCATCAGGATGTAAGAAAAAGTGGTGCTAATATCAGAACTGTCAGTCAGTCTTGGAAAGAGATTAACTTCACCGGCATCAGCTAAGAGTAGGTAGAGAGACTTTGGAAGCAGACAGACTGAAGCTATTAGTAAATTCGCAAAAAGGATTCTTTCACAAATGGAAGGCTGAAAAAAATGGGTGATGACACCCATCTTCCAAGGAAAAGAATAGGAGACTAAGAAGGTTGTTTAATGCTTAAAAAATTATCCATTAGAAATCAATCTTGTGGCTGCACCCAGCCGATGGGAGAGTTGGGGTGCACATTTTTATGTACCACTCTGTCAACTCTCTTACTGTGGAAAAAGGGGAGAATGAGTATTAGGAAGCAAAGAGCTATCTCTGTCCCAAAGAAGTTTATGGAAATGCTTAACACAATGCCCAGTTCACAGCAAGTCACCAAGAACTATTAGTGTCATCATACCAATAATCAGAAAGAGAAAATGGAAATTTTGTTACTTTTTGTGAGACGATATCCAAACCCATAAAGACCCCAATTTTCACTGCTATTTTTCAGAGTTGAGCAAAAGCACAGATACGGAATTAGAAGTCCTGGGTTCAAATCCCTTAGGCAAAGTGTTTAGTCTCTCTGGGTTTCAGTTTCTTCATCTGTAAGTTGGAAATAACGACGTCTACTTCGTGGTGGTGGTTGTGAGCACTAATGAGAAAGGATGTACGTTAAACTCTATAGCAGAGTTTCTGGCTTGATAGAGTTGATACTCAACAAGGGTTTTTTCATCATTCTCTTCACTCATGTATTCATCTAACAAATATTAGTCAAGCTCCTACTATGTGTTAAGCATTCTAGTAGGTGTGAGGAAGAAAATGATGAATATGATAGGTTGTTTCTGACCTCAAGGAGCTGTGTTGTAGTTTAGTGGTACACAGGCATTAAACCCAGCTATGAATTATAATTAATTGTCATTGTAATAAATAGTATGAAAACAATACGAAGAGACTCTCAGTAGAGAGATGAATCATAGGTCAGGATTAGGGTGCTTATGGAGAAAAATGACCAGGCAAATGAATTTGAGAAATAATTAAAATGTAGAATCAGTGAGTACAGGGATGATGTCTAAGCAATGGGTAGATAGGGATATCATGTATTGATGATGGAGAAGATGGAGGCAGGGATGTAGAAGAAAGTCCATGGAAGGAAAGAGGGAAGGAAGGAAGGAAGGAAGGAAGAAAGGAAGGAAGATGGATGGACGAATGGACAGATGGATGAATGGATGGATGGCAGATGGACAAAGGAATGAATGAGGACTGCTTTATTAGACACACAGAAAAATAGAGAAATGGGTGAGAGTGGATAGATCAATAATAAGTCTTTGGTGGAGTATATGGGGTATATAGGTAAAACTCAATAAAACAATACTGCATTATTTATGTAGGATTCTCTTTTTTGGATAGTTAGAAGATTTGGATATGGATAACGGGCATCACTAAAACATTGATTTTTGTTAAGAGTTAAAATGCCATAACATTTTTAATGTTAAAAGAACACAAAAATATATACTTGAGAATGAAACTGGATCGAACAAAACTGTATTTTCTAAAGACTTTAAATTACACACTTTCTAGTAATCATCATTGTTTTATACATTCAACATATTTCTGAAGACTAAATTGGAGGGTTGGAGGATACCAAGGTAAACCATTTGTGGTTTTGCCTTCAAAGGGTAGGGGACACAGGATTAACATATATGTGAAGATAACATGATGAGAATCATGAATTTAAGATAAATATGGATAAAACATTATAAACATCCTTTCGTTCTTTTAAAATCAATACACAATAATTTGCATATTTATGGGGTACGTATTGGTGTTATGATACATGTAATGTATAATGATTAGATTAAGATAGTTAGCATAGCCATCATTTCAAACCTTTTTATGTGGGATCCTTTTTCTTATTTAATCCTCAAAGTAACCCTTAGAAATATGTAGCACAATTTTTATTACTATTATTATTGTTTGAGACTGAGTTTCGCTCTTGTTGCCCAGCTGGAGTGCAGTGGCGTGATCTCAGCTCACCGCAACCTCTGCCTCCTGGGTTCAAGCAATTCTCCTGCCTCAGCCTCCAGAGTAGCTGGAATTACAGGCATGCGCCACTACCCCTGGCTAATTTTGTATTTTTAGTAGAGATGGGGTGTCTCCATATTGGTTGGGCTGGTCTCGAACTCCTGACCTCAGGTGGTCCACCTGCCTCAGCCTCCCAAAGTGCTGGGATTACAGGTGTGAGCCACAGCGCCCGGCCTGTAGCACAATTATTAATATCATTCTTTTACAGATGCTAAAACTATGATGCAGGGAGGTCAAGTGACGTGACAGAACCAGAACTTGAGCCTCCAGTCTTGTCATCCACCCTCTCCCCTCTACCACACACCACCTATAAAGAATGAGAAAATCGGCCAGGCACGGTGGCTCACGCCTATAATCTCCGCACTTTGGGAGGCCGAGATGGGTGGATTGCCTGAGGTCAGGAGTTCGAGACCAGCCTGACCGACATGGTGAAACCTCATCTCTACTAAAAATACAAAAATTAGCTGAGTGCGATGGCGAGCACCTGTAATCCCAGCTACTTGGGAGGCTGAGGCAGGAGATTTGCTTGAACCTGGGAGGCGGAAGTTGCAGTGAGCCGAGACTGGGCCATTGTACTCTAGCCTAGGCAACAAGAGTGAAACTCCATCTCAAAAAAAAAAAAAAAAAGACTGAGAAAATCAGCAGTGAAGGTGGGAGGAGACAGTAGGATGGCCGAGGATGTGTCTCAATATGCACCTCTGGGGTAAGGCCTGTGGGAGAAGGGAGAAAAGAGTAAAACAGCCTGCATCCTTACTCAGCTGATTTCTTCCCCTTTACAGGTCAAAGTATTTCCATGGGAAGAAGGTGAATGGAGAGATTGAGATCCGAGTGGAGCAGGTAGGTGGGAGCTTGTCTTTAGCAGTGTCGTCTGACCTTTTCTGCAGCTGGGACTGTTCTTACACGCAATCTTTTTTTTTTTTTTTTTTTTTTGAGACGGAGTCTCGCTCTGTCGCCCAGCCAGGCTGGAGTGCAGTGGCGCGATCTCGCTCACTGCAAGCTCCGCCTCCGGGTTCATGCCATTCTCCTGCCTCAGCCTCCCGAGTGCTGGGACTCCAGGCGCCACAACCGCGCCCTAATTTTTTGTATTTTTGTAGAGACGGGTTTCACCGTGGTCTCGATCTCCTGACCTTATGATCCGCCCACCTCGGCCTCCCAAAGTGCTGGGATTACAGGCGTGAGCCACCGCGCCCGGCCCTTACACGCAATCTTGGTCCCCATCTTATGTGGTCATAATGAGCTAAGATTACCAGAAAAGTCCAAGCTTATACCTGGGAGTCTCATTAAATTTCAGAATTATTTGGGCCAGTGGTTTTCAACCTTTTATGTTTTAGCAGAGACCCTTTCTTCAAGGGAAATGTCAAATAGGAACTCATTCTACAAAAGAGAGATACGTAGAGCTGCTTTGATGGAAATAGGCAGGTGGAGCCCAACGTCTGTCTGTTCCATACTGCTCCTTTTGGCCCCTGGGGCATCTCCTTGCAGCCACCTGGGCTAGAGAGCATGGTTTAGGAACATAATGAAGCGCCTTGAATCCTGCCTCTCTCATTTTCTAGATTTTGGGCAGGTGACTTAATCTCTGTCTGCCTCAATTTCCTTGTATCATTGTGGGGATTAAATTATTTAAAACCTCAGAAGGGATCAGAACCGCAAATACTATCTCTTGCTATTGCTATTAATATCAATATCCAAGTCCCTTATTTTATGTGGAAAGAGACACAGATTTGTTTAGGGCTGTGTAGGGAGGCAGTGGCAGAATCAGGAGTAGAAGGTGTGGTTCCTGGCTCCAGATCAAAGCTTTCTCCTATTCGTTCAGCGAGGAGCTCCTCTCTGTCAAACACTGTGCTCAGCCTTAGGAGAGCACATTTGAGCCTGGGCTCTGGAGCCATACTCCAGATTTGAATCCCAACACCACCCGCTACTAACCTTGTGACTTATGCTCTCTCCAGCTCAATTTCTTCATCTGTCCAACTGGGGCAATAATAGCATCAGCCTGCGTTCATAGGGGGCTGTGAGGATCAAACGAGTTAGTCTGTGAAAAGTGCTCAGAACAGTACCTGGCACATACTGAGCACTTAGTAAATGTTACCCATTTATCATCAGCATCATTATTCGTTATCCTCCTCTTACTCCTCCTCCTCATCAAAGGCAAACAGTAACTAACATAGACAAGGTCCTTGCTGTAAAAATGATTTCAAAATACAATTTTTAAAATAGGGGAGTATGACTGTTCTTCTCCCTGCACTTTTTGAGCTTAGTGTGTCAGAGAAACAGAAAGGTCTCCTAAGCATCAAACTGAGTTGGTTTAATATTAAAACACCTACACTTTGAATTTCAGTTTGATTCTGTGGCTTTCAAGTCAACCCAATGTCTCCTGGTTTTCCTTCCATGGCAGAGAACAGGTTATTTTTGTTCATTTTGCAAATATTTGTCAAGAGTCTACTATGCTAGCTAGCTAATATGTGGAGAACGAGTATATAGAAGAAGAGGCCCAGTCTCCAAATGCCTGTGGTCTAGGAGGAGAGGTGAGCTAAGTCTTTTTTCTTTTTCTTTTTCTTTCTTTCTTTTTTTTTTTTGAGATGGAGTCTCACTCTGTTGCCTAGGCTGGAGTGCAGTGGCGTGAAATGCAACCTCTGCCTCCCAAGTTCAAGCTATTCTTCTGCCTCAGCCTCCTGAGTAGCTGGGACTACAAGCATGTGCCACCATGCCTGGCTAATTTTTTTTTATTTTTTTATTTTTAGTACAGATGGAGTTTCACCATGTTGGTCAGGCTAGTCTCGAACTCCTGACCTCAAATGATCTGCCTGCCTTGGCCTCCCAAAGTTCTGGGATTACAGGCATGAGCCACCGCACCTGGCCTACAGAACAATAACATTGATGATGGTAGCAAACTTGTATTGAACGTTTACTATTTGCTAGATGCCATATTAAGTGTTTTCCATGCAATAACTCATTCAATCCACACAGTTTGCCTGTTGCTGAGGAAACTTGGGCTCAGAGAGCTTAATAAATTGCCCAGGCAGGTCACACAGCTAGTAAGAATGCAGTGAAGCTGGGGTTTGAACTTACAGGTAGAAACCAGGGCTGAGAGGTCCAAATTTAGCGCTCCCAGCAGCAGAGGTCACAGTCAACTGAAAGACTCAGATGTGGCCTCGAGGAGGGAGTGGTGTTTGAAATAGATCAAAGGATGGATAGGATGTCAACAAGTGGAGATGGTGGCATGAAGAGTGTGTGAATGGAGGAGGCAGTGTGAGCAAAGATAAGGAGACCAGAAGTACAGGGTATGGAGTGACAGGGAATGCGGTGTGGTTCTCCAAAACAGGACACATCATCTTCCCCTGCACCCACCCTACTCCTCCCTAATTCTCTCTCTCAGTAAAGAGTGTGACCATCTACCTTCCACTTGTACCAGAAACCTGCTCCGGCTCCCGAATGTGTCCCTCTCCCTGTACCACTGCACCCATTCAATGACTGGATCCTGCTGACTCCACATCTGATATTTCCTAGTCCCTGCACTTCTCCCTTCATCCCCATCACCTAGATCCTTGGCTGGACCACCCTCAACTCTTGTCCAATCTTCCTCATCAACAGCCTCACAACTTCATGTTTTCAACCCATCTCCAATGTATTCTTCATACCAAAGCTAGAGTGATCTTCCTCAAAAAGCAGATTAGATCCTTTGAAGTGTTAGCTTTACAATCCTTTCCTCAAAGACTCCTTCTCTGAGCCTTTTCCAGATTTATATCAGGTAACCTGGTTATTCCCTTTCATAGCTCCTCAACTTTTCCTTCCTGGCCCTTATCTGAGTTTTTAGCCATACATTTTGAGTGGGATGATTTGCCTGAGGGTAGAGACCATGACTGTCTGGATCTCACCCTAAGTAGCACTGGGCCTGGCACAAAAGAGAATTGAAGGAAATATTTGCAGAATGAATAACTGATAGATTCTACAGATTCCAGGCTGCTTGTGAGTTTCCAAGGGCGATAAGTCACCATTCACCGCTTCTTTTTTTGACAGTCGCACCCCGTCGCCAGGCTGGAGTGCAGTGGCGCAGTCTCGGCTCACTGCAACCTCTGCCTCCCGAGTTCAAGCGATTCTCCTGCCTCAGCCTCTCAAGTAGCTGGGACTACAAGCATCCCCCACCACACCCCGATAATTTTTGTATTTTTGGTAGAGATGGGGTTTCACCATGTTGACCAGGATGGTCTCAATCTCTTGACCTCGTGATCCGCCAGCCTTGGCCTCCCAAAGTGCTAGGATTACAGGCCACCGTGCCCAGCCACCACTTGTTAATCTCCCCTCAAAACTCTGGGTTTTCCATAAGCCATCTGGTAAATACTTGGTTGCCAGCTGAGCTCACCCTGCCTCATCCCATTTGTGGAAACCCCAGGGGCATGTTTTAATTTTCCACTTTTATCTCAGCAATGCCATTGGCCCAACTTGTAGGTACAAAATCTATGAGCAGGACCATCAGGGAATTGCCCTAAGAATAACTCACCCCGGGGCTCTGGGGCCCCTCGGCCCGTCTATGAGGTCTACAATCACACTGAAAAACCTTGGCTAATTTAGAGTCATTCTGATTTCCAGCCATGCCCCTCTGTGAAAGCCAAAAGGTGAATTAGCCAGGAAACCAATTAGCAGGTCATTTGGGCATTTTTCCCCAGAAGACATACCTTTCCAAATCCATCTTGGAATCAGAATCACTTGTCTTTGCCCATCTGTATCAATGGGCGGGACACACAAGTAAGCCCCCCAGGAATCTCACATGCATCCTTTAGCACTTGGGAAAAGTCTCAGGACGGAAGCCACTGTTTAGTCTGAGCTGGCCTCACATTTTGGGATCCTGTCTCCCAACCAAGGGCCAAATTAACCAGATAATTGCACTGTCTGGGTTTTGCTGGACAGAGCGAATGAGTTAGTTGTGGTTGGCCTAGAGGAAGCCTCCACCCATTCTCTCCATCCTCTTCCCCCACCCCCCCTCCGAGTCTAAAAACTGCTTGCCTCAACTTTTACAGAGCCAGGAATCAAGAAACCCTAGGGAGGCCCGTGGGGGAGATAGCATCATTTTGCATTCTGTTACCCAGAATGCCCTACTGGCTCTGCAGGGCCCTCACAGCAGTATCCTAGTAGGGTCTGAGAGGATCAGGCCAGGATGGTTGGCATGTCAAACTCTCCTCTGTTTATATTTGAAGTAAAGGGTCTTTTTCTCCACAGGCACAAGTCACCCCTCTGTGGGACCAAGCAATGAGGTTGATGAATGGATTAATATTAAGTAGACTCACAGTTCTGGGACATCAGTGGGCTAGGACTTGCTAAGGTAGAACCTCAGTCTCTGATTTTTAAGAGAAGACTGAAATCACCACCGCTAGTCTTTCCTCCGTGTTAATGGAGGTACCGAGGCAGAAAGAACACTAATGCCTTGCTCTAGCAGGCGGAGAAAAAGGCAAGAGAAGGGTTTATACCTGCCCTTGAGCAACTCCCAGCCCGATGAAGGAAGCCAGATGACCCATGGATTTACGTATGAATACTAGTTGCTCCTTTGAGTACTGTCCTTGTGTAATATTGGGTTGGGTTGGGGTTAGGAAGCTGTTCAGGGGAGGCTGCTGTTGGGAGACTGTTCATCTTCTGCCCTTTATATATTTAACATCAATGTCTTCTGAATGGAAAGGTGAGATATTCCCCTTAAAATATTTTAAACACTGCAGACCCTGTATTTATATTTTTTTATATGCACTTCAGCCTTCAACCCACAATTCTTTCTGGGACAACATTTCTTAGAATGGACCTTAGCTGTAGATACTGACCATAAAGACCTATATTTCAAGAAACAGTTGTCAACA